CTCTCTCACTCACTCACTCACTCACTCCTTTCTCCCCGGATGCCGTGCTTGTCACTTTTTTTCCCTGCTGCCGTGCTCATATTAGTTATCTTACTACAGCTGTATCTTCTTCTTGGCTCTGTTTGTCCGCTTATTATTATTTATCACATGTCACGTGAGTGTTTCCTTGGATCGGGCCAATCACTGGTCTGTATGAGCGGGCAATAAATCAGTCCAACGCCCGCGTCCAAAGCCCGTCGTCAGTGACAACCCTGACTGAGACTGTACGCGTAAAAATCTACGGGATGTGAACATGGTGGGCATGGTGACTGTACGGCGCAGGGCCTAGGGAGTAGGGTGGCATGTGAACGCGTGGTCGAAAGTGGCGATCTCAGCTTTCCTCGCGTGACTACGACGACTCTGTAGAATGTACGACTCTACGACGAGTCGCAGTGTAGCATTGAGACGAAGATGGAATTCTTTTTGGAGATGGACATCCCGCCAACGGACATGGCCTCGGACGTCTGCCGTGTGGTGCTTGCAGGGATCATTTGTTCAGTCATGTTGGCAGCCTGACCGTCGGTAAGCTTTTGGATAAGATTCAGTTCTGCTCGAAGTGGCACTGTGATCACAAACAATTATTTGAAATAACACAAATTCAACTCAGCGTCGTGCGTTTTCAGATCCTCGCAAAGTCACTGCCTGTGTGTGGTCTTCATGTGCCACGCAAAACTCTTACCAGGCTCATTTGTCCTCTGCCTTCACCTTTGCTTGAACAACAAATACAACAATTCAGGAATGTTTTGCAATGAAAAATACAGCTATCTGGAGCTGAAAAAAGAAGAAGAAAAATTGTCCTCAGAATTACACACCAGGGAGTCGTCAAATACTTGGTATTGATTTATTTGCACTTGTTGCAGTACTGTATTTGACAACTTCCTGATACACATGTAAACATGAAGAAACTCTTTGTGGTAGCACTCTTAATTTTTCAACTGAAATTATGATTCTGCTGTATTTATTGTCGTTGCCATGTCTATTGCTATGACGATGCGGTGCCGGCCCTTTTTTCTGTCTCCGTCTTTCAGTACTGTATACTCTTCTGATGGCCTGTAGCAGACTTTTTGTTAGGGTGTAGGAGAAATATCTTCATTTTTCCTGTTTTGATAATGATAGCACATCAATATACATTGTGGTCATAATGTGTTGGCATTTGGGCCAATTTCAACAGCAGCCCAATGGTCTGCTCTGTGGGCCATGTGATAAATTCGTTATCGCATGGTTGCTGCGGGCCTTATGGCATATTATTGCCCCTCGAGGTTAGCCCTCGGGCCTACGGCCCTCGGGCTAACCTCTCGGGGCAATAATATGCCATAAGGCCCTTGCAACCATGCGATAACATATACATATTTTTCTTTTCTCTTATTATCAGTGGGACCATTGTCATTAGGTGTAGGCCTGTTTTGGAACTCCACTTTAAATAAAGCCAAACAAAAACAACAACAAGAATAGCTATATTGTGTGTGTAGGGATAGTATGGATATAAGAATAGCTATATTGTGTGTGTAGGGATAGTACGGATATAAGAATAGCTATATTGTATGTGTAGGGATAGTGTGGATATAAGAATAGCTATATTGTGTGTGTAGGGATAGTACGGATATAAGAATAGCTATATTGTGTGCGTAGGGATAGTATGGATATAAGAATAGCTATATTGTGTGCGTAGGGATAGTATGGATATAAGAATAGCTATATTGTGTGTGTAGAGATAGTATGGATATAAGAATAGCTATATTGTGTGTGTAGGGATAGTATGGATATAAGAATAGCTATATTGTGTGTGTAGGGATAGTATGGATATAAGAATAGCTATATTGTGTGTGTAGGGATAGTATGGATATAAGAATAGCTATATTGTGTGCGTAGGGATAGTATGGATATAAGAATAGCTATATTGTGTGTTTAGGGATAGTATGGATATAAGAATAGCTATATTGTGTGTTTAGGGATAGTATGGATAAAAGAATAGCTATATTGTGTGTGTAGAGATAGTATGGATATAAGAATAGCTATATTGTGTGTGTAGGGATAGTATGGATATAAGAATAGCTATATTGTGTGTGTGTAGGGATAGTATGGATATAAGAATAGCTATATTGTGTGTGTAGAGATAGTATGGATATAAGAATAGCTATATTGTGTGTGTAGGGATAGTATGGATATAAGAATAGCTATATTTTGTGTAGGGATAGTATGGATATAAGAATAGCTATATTGTGTGTGTAGGGATAGTATGGATATAAGAATAGCTATATTGTGTGTGTAGAGATAGTATAGATAATAATAGCTATATTG